ACTGTCTCATTATAACACCCCCACAACCCTTAGATTGTGAGTCGAGCACCTTACCCACCTTGCCATGCCAGGCCGGAAACATCGATGTCGGGTTTAGTTTGTACGAAAGAAATTCCTACGTTAAATGGAAGACATAAGAATGATAATAGTTAAGAAGTTAAAACAGTTTTCATTGAATAGAAATATAAAATAAAAACAAAAAGGGACAATGATAGAGAAAATGATAAAATATAAAGCAATATATAAGAAATAGAAATATGGATAATATTAACAGTAAAACATTAATTAATTACAAATTTGGTTTTGGAGTTTTTTTAGAAATCTACAAAGGTCAAAAATGCAACTGGTCGCAAAACACTGACCACTCTCATAAAGACATTAAACTGATATGTATAGAGAGAAATTGTACATCAAACATTATATGGGAAATTAAAGAAGCTTACTGAATATCACCGTAAAATTCTATAATGCCAAATGGCATCAGTATCGATCCCAGTATCACTGACCTTCGGACACCTCTAAAAAATTCCTATACAGTACTATAACACGATTGTTTTAAATTATTTGGTGAAATTAATTCAAGCATTCAATCCACATAACAATAATAAATTACTTGATTTCTTTCGTTAACATTTCTACAAACTTGAACACTGTCATAACTTGTTGTAGGCCTGCATTACAAATGATGTTAACTAATGTAATACAAACCATAGCTAACATACTGACTTAGTAGTTCACTACTCTATCCTGATATCACTCTACATACTTCACATCAAAGTTTTAGTTACTAAATATTATAGGCCTATCCTATTAAACCTTCTGATCTTAACATCATCACTAAGACCTGCAGCTCCCTCTAGCTAATCTTTAAATTACACCAATAGTAAACAAATTAGAAATACATCACAGATTATTACAGTAGCCCTATAATAAATCTCTGTGATTAAAAACATTTAACTGCTTTGGTACAAGCACTGGTCTATTTATCATGAACCATAATAGATATCACAAGGAATTCCACAAAACACTAATAGAATGTTTGGGCAAAAAGCACATGTTAGACTTACAAAGAAAAGAAAATCCATTCAAAATGGCCTGTCTATAATTATTATTATTATTCTCTTGCCATCCTACAACAAAAATGGCCTGTCTATAATTATTATTATTATTCTCTTGCCATCCTACAACAAAAATGGCTGGGTATATTACACCCCAACCTTTTGTAAAGTACTTAATAAGATACTGTGAAGGCATAGGGGTATTAAAACATCGATTTTTTTTTCTATATTTTGCATAAGCTAAGTAACACCATAAGTCTAGTGCAAGCAAGGTTATCATTAGCCCTTGAAGTTAGTTTTCTTACAAATATCTAGTGTCCCTTTAAAAATGTTAAGTACAGGGTAAAACAGGAATTTCCAGCCAGTAATTGATGAACATTAGATGACTGTAATGTGTAGATATTCAATGCTTTGCACACTATACAATCGGTGTCTTTAGGGAGACAACCTATATATTATATAAGTGAAGGAGTAACAAAAACAAATCAATAAATATAGAATTAAATTTTATTATACATTGTAGAATTACTTTAAAAGACACAAAAGTTTATTTAAAGCAATGTTTTAGACAAATGCTTTTCTACTGGTCAAATTTGATACGTGTTTAGCGGGGGTTGTGTCTTAGTCTAGGCATATGTTTGCCTATTGCTATGCCTATTGCTATATAGAGAATTTAGTCACACAGAAACTATAACTAATACCCACGACAATCTCCAGCTGCACATCCCAAACTAATGTGATCAAGTAGTCAATAGCTACAGTAAATCATCATGAACTGTAGCAGCTAGCTACTAGCTATGTTTATTATCATTTACAATGTATAAAGTTAGCTACCATATTGAGTAATCCTTTGCCCATAGTTTAGCATAAAAAAAAAGCCAGCAAACAAGATAAATAAAAAATTGGAAATTTAAAAACCTGCAAATAGGGATCGTAAAACAAGTAAGCAAACAAGGCTGGAAATACTGTAGACATTATTTACTCAAACTATAAACCCTTATTTTGGTTCCATGCTGTTACCTAGAATTAAATTTGGTGGAGTCAAAATAGGGATTTGTAGTTTGAGTAAATAATGTCTACAGTATCTCCAGCCTTGTTCGCTTACTTGTTTTTTAGAATTGTTAATCTTGAATTTATTACTGTTAATGTTACATTTATTAATCATGCTTAGAGCTGTGTCGGCAATTTACAAGGAATTACTAAAACTGAATGACAGAAGAGGTAAAGTTGAACAAGTTACTTTTATACTATACACATACATATTCAATTAAAAGAAATTTGAACTCAAGAAATTGTTATTTGAAAACATTTTCATTTTTATCTGTTTAAATAGATTAAACCTGTACAAGGCAAAAGAAATCAGTCCAGATTTTGACCAACTGCTCTTCAAAGGCAGACCCATGTATTACTATATTTGAACTTAGACAAGAACATTTTTAACTTTTCATTCTCAAAATTAAATCCACCAATCAATCCACTTTCATTAAACTTCTGTTAAAATTAAAGCTTCTATGATTTTAGATGACAATGTTTCATGCATTTATCCCTGTTTCACAAATAAAAGTTGCATCAAATAAGGATTGTCTGATATTTCCAAACTAAAGTGCTGGGTTTGTGGACACTCCCAAACTAAAGTGCTGGGTTTGTGGACACTTCCAAACTAAAGTGCTGGGTTTGTGGACACTTCCAAACTAAAGTGCTGGGTTTGTGGATACTCCCAAACTAAAGTGCTGGGTTTGTGGATACTCCCAAACTAAAGTGCTGGGTTTGTGGATACTCCCAAACTAAAGTGCTGGGTTTGCAGATACTTTCAACAAAAGTGCTGGGTTTACAGACACTTCCAAGCTAAAGTACTTGGTCTGAAAAGTAGTAAAAGAGACAGCTTCAATTAGCATTCAGGTTCGATTTGAACTTTTGGTTGCTGCAAGGAGGAACGAGATCATGAAGAGGTTTACATTGTGGGGGACTCGTGCAGTACTGGAGAAGAAATGTTGACTATAGTTTCAAATTTACTGTATGTCTCTACAAAAAATGTAACAAGTTATCATTAAAATGTACAAGTCTGTTGTACACAAAAAAATCAGATGTGTTTCAAAGGTACTCGTATTCAAGATACGTCCGTGAATTGACAACATTAGTCGGACTCGGACAAGTCGGAGTGCAAGGTGATGTACACGAGAAGAATAAAATTACTTTTCTCCATTGTAAGTTTGTATAACGTCTACTACTTCTGAATTACATATCTACAATTATTTTCAGTACACTGTATCTAGGGTTTACTCTACCGTGAACTGCCAGTAAAATGAACAGTGGATCACTCTGACATCAAATACATAACACCATTTTGAACAGCACTCTGTAAAAGATTGTGACGTGTGAACTTTGACACCACTCGTGCACACAGAGCCAAGTTACTAATAAAGTAACAGTAAGAGGAGGACTAGAATAACATAGAAACTGTTGATAGTTTGGTTATTGGCACAAAAAAAACACTATCTTTTATAGTACATGTAAGAGATGTTGGAAACTAAAAGTCAGAAGAGATGCTTAGAAAAATATCCTTCAGATTTAGGATAAAAATGATATGTACCCCCTTTACAAAAAAGTTTACAAAGGGAATGGGTGATGTTCTGGAAAATATAAACTAGGTTTAAATTTTGGTGGGTATGCAAGGATAGCCTTAAAGAATCAAATGGTCCAGTGTCGTGACTAATTAAATACTCGTAACCCTGGAACACGCTCAGAAATTTCAACATATCCTCATATGACAATCCATCTTTTATTCCTTAACAATTACATCAATACATGTCTTAACTTATATTTTTTAATTCTCATAACTTCTTTTCCACAGCATAGAATATTTTAGTTTGAAAATACTCTGTATTTTTATATTATGTTGAGTACCAATAGTAACACAAAGCATTAATTCCATTTAAAGTCTTAAACTTACCTGTTTTTATCGTAAGGATCAAAGCTTCCTGCCATTATATTGTACAACTCAAATAATGATTTCCACTTTTCACTGGTTGAGTGCTAAGCTCACTTTCACTCTCAGTCTTGCAAGCACAGATTAGAGCTGAAGAGTCTTGAAAAATGTAGTTCAACTTGTAGCCTTAATATCCCATTTTCAGTTAGAAATGTAGCAGTTACTTGATTATATGCATAATTAAAGAATTTTACACTTTTAACAATTTTGTGCAGCAAATACAACTGTCTAAAAAAATGATTCAATAGCTATTAACACAATATTTCTGAATATTTAATTTCCAACCAGTAAAGATATTGTTGAGGTCACAGTATTTGTTCCAACAACTTACTTGAATTAATATTTTCAAACATTAGACTAAGTCTTGCAGTTATTTACCTTATGATCTAACACCAAATCTGTTCCTCTATTGGTTGATAGTGTCTCCGAAGTCAGGCCCAAAAATGCTTTTGTTTTTGTTGTAAGCCAAACTAGGAATGATTTTTTTTCCACGTGTTGTTTTTTTTTTATCATCTTATTTCACGCACTGAAATTCAAATGATTTATGCATGATAACATTTACGTCACTATATTTACTATTACTGTATTAGCATTATTAATATTAACCTTATTTCTCCGCCTCACATTGCCGAAGTAGTACCTAATTTTGTTCTTTAAATTTGGTTAATGTTACTTACTGAAGTCTAAACTACAAAAATCGTTGTAGTAACATTATTAATGACATGTTTACACATTTACTAAGTTTTAGGTTTACACACTATACAATTCACGATCTTGCATTGAAAAAAAAAGTTGGCATACAACAATGCAGTAGCCACCACATACTAATGAGTGCATTAAAATTTTGTTAGCATTAAACTTTTAAAGTATTTCTCGACGTAGGCCTAAAAAATTCGACCTCACGCTAAATCTAACAGAAACTTTGATAAAGCATGTAACGTTGGGGGTAAGCGTTGGTTAGCAAATTTAGAAGCTCGTTTCCTCGCCCTTCCTGTATCGGAACGTCCTTTAAATGAGAGATACTTCAACAAATAAGTTGTATTCTGATAACTCGAGGCGTTTCGGTTGCCATTATCTTTGATTTCCGTATCCACATCCAAACAAGGACTTACTATTTAACCCAGCCAGTCAATATGGCGTATGGTAAACGAATTTAGATCGCCACTTATGAAATTAAGAAAAAAAAGGTATATCTTAGCACCGTTATTAACAATGTTTATAATTTATTTTGACTACAAAAAATAAATAAGTAAATAATGCGAAACAGTCTTCCTGGAACACTTATCAACACCAAATCGGGACTAAGCATATGGCATTACCGCTTACCAATACGCGCAAGGCAGGCCACGTGCCAATGAAACGATCATGGTGTCACTGTTTATCTTCTTCTCCTAAAGCAGTTTTTAAAGGAGAGATCTTAATGCGAATTTGGTTACGTCACTCCCCCAATGGTTCAACGGTAAGTTTACAGAACTTACTGCGCTAAAATAGAGGGTTCGAACCGTTGCATGCAGTGGACAGAGCGCAAATAGTTAATTTTACAGCTTTGCTATAAAAACACCAATACCGAGTGTACTGAAAAATGTCTAAATCCCATTTTCAGTGGATGCGTGATTTAAAACATCAAAGAACATACAGAAACCTGCAATAACGCATTATTAAATCAAGCAATGGGCTTGAATAATATTTTGATATACGTACATTTTCGACCAAATATTAAGTTTTTCCTAAGAATTGGGTCATTTCTTTCGTGAACTGTGCAGCAATTGGTACTGATTGTTATCAACAATTCAAATATATATACTCTAAGAATATTTGAGTGAAAGCAAAGGAAATATGTCAAACATACTATATATGTCATATCCAGTGCGACGAGGCCTTTAGTCTAATACCAGGTATAGTTTTACTTTAAACTAGTCACCAACAATATATATATTTTTTATATGATTCTCACCGTTCAGTGACAAGGAAAAGTTTTAAACTTATGACCATTATTGGTGGAATAAACAGTTTTCATATGACATTGAAATTCCAACAGTGACTTGACAGGAATAAAATAATGTTCCTATTAACCCAAGAATGACAGCGTGGGGTCACTATAAGGATTCTCGTGAATAATGTAACTAACGTCAGTGCATAAATAAATAAACGTATTCGCTCTAGTCTTTATAATTTTAATTTATTTGTATTATGTAAAACTATGAACATATGTTTATTGTCTGTGGGGTCATCTGGGACCCCACCTGGTGTTTATGACAGAAAACTTAAGGCTGGTATTCTAGAGTTAAAATTAAACAAAAAAAAAACAACAACACATTTAAAGTTGTGGTTAATAATAAAGACGAATACAATAACGTTTATAGTATTACTTTAGAGATTTTAACATGTTAATGAAGTGGGGGAATTTAGTAGTTTGAGTCTTCTTCAGCAAGCAACCTCACTCAAAAAAATCTAATGTCATCAAATGTTTGGCCAAAACGTGTGGTTTCACTAAACAAATATAAAGGACATGTCCTCAGACCACAAAATAACTTTAATACCAAATCTAATTTACTCTACTCCTGTATGTAAACTACTTTAACAAATATTCTTGTCAATTTGAACCTTTTTCTGAACAAGTGTTGATTTAATATTTGCCTTTGTGTTTTTGAAAACGTTTGAAACAAGATTTAAAACACATTTTTATAAAACATAAGCTGAAACAGTACAGCTGTTTTATGTTTATTAAACGATTATTATCCACTTACAACATAATAAAATATTTACATTACAGTTTGTCAAAATATTTGTCTATAAACACTGAAAAAGAATACACAGCAAACGGAGAAAATTAGTATTTAATTCAGTTTTCATAAACAACTAAATCACCAAAATGATGTTTAAATTTTGCAAGTTTTCCTTCCGAGATGACCACTTCTAACAGAAGAAAATTAGGATCTGTGCTATCAGCTACCGCACTCTTAACTCCAGCTTCTTTATACAGCCAACTGTAAAAAGAACAAGACAAAAAAGTATAAAAAATTAATGGGTTATTATTACCATAAATTTCCCAACACATATATAAAACACACATAGGTACAGCTTATCTTGTTGATTAGAAGTATCTCTTGTGATGGTTCGTAACTGAAAATCCACTCATGGCAAACAAGCCCTGCATGGATTCCTTGTGAAAAAAGAAGAGAGAAGAGAAAATCTTACCTTAAAAATCTTTGACATTCTTTGAAAAGGTTACTGCTTAAATAGATGAGGTTAAGGGTGTAGATTTGGTGTATCTGGATCTTCATTTTACAAGGTGCCACATAAAATTATCTCTATAGGTGTGGGGGATAAGTTAGCTAATTGGATAAAAGGGTGGCTGGATGGAAGAAAGGAGACGGTTCTTACAAATGGAGTTCAGTCAAACTGGATTACCTCAGAGCTCAGTCTTAGGACCTTTACTCTTTTTTGATTTATATCAAAGAAGGAATGGTCGATAAGTTACTTCAATTTGCAGATGATATTAAGGTCTTGGGTGTTGCTAGTTGTGAAGAGGATGCTGTTGATTTACAAAAGGATTTAGATCATCTAGTGAGTAGGGCAAATAAATGGTAGATGGGTTTTAATTATAACAAATGCAAGATAATGCATGTGGGTTATCATAATTTGAATTATAAGTATAATTTGGATAGGAATAACCTTAACAGTGTCATGAAAGAAAGGGATCATGATGTAATGGTTGGTCAATCTCTTAAGCCATCCAACCAGTGTGTTGTTGCAAGTGGTTGGGCAAATAGGATTTTTGATTGTGTGTACAGAAATACTGAATACAAGTCTAAGGAGGTTATAATTTCATTGTATAGGTCACTGGTTAAGGCACATTTGGAGTCTAGTGTTCAATCTTGGGCTCCTTATATTAGGAAGGACACTGAATTGTTGGAAAGGGTTTAGGGGAGGGTTACTAGGATGATACCTTGGTTGGAGGGGTTGTCATACGAGGAGGTTAAGATTCTTGAATTTGAGTTAGAGGGGATCTGATTGAGGTGTTTAACATTGTAAATGGAATTGATAGTGTTGATGCATCATCTTTTTTTTTTCATACTTGATGATGAGAATGATAGGACTAGGAAACACGAGTATAACTTTTGGCAGGGTAGGAGTCATCTTCAGCTAAGACAGTTATATTTTTCTAACAGGGTGGTCGGCCTGTAGAATGGGTTGTCTTTGGATGTTGTGGAAGCAGTTAATTTAAGTGAGTTTAAGAAAAAGCTTGATAACTATATGAATGATAAGGACTGGCTTTGAGGTTTCTTTTTTAATAGTTTCAGTTTAGTTTAGTGGACAGCCTAGATGGACCAATAAGTCCCTAGAATTTATGTTATGTTAATTAGTTTTCATCTAATTATGTAACAATATTTATTTAGTTTCCGTTTTGAAGATGTAATCTTTATGGTAAACCAAATCTACTTAACAGTTATGTGAACCAGTAATCTCTTATTTTGAACTGATAGACTAGAGAAAAGGCAGTAGTCAACAGTGACCATTGCCAACTTTTAGGCTACTCATCTGACTGAACAGTGGGATTTGACCATCATCCATGGATCCAGAGTGTGGGACACTATTTCTTTTGCAGTAATTGCATGGAAATGATGGACCTAAAGATCCATAGTTTAGCATGCTAACCACTGGTCTGTGTTGACTTGTTTGTGAACATTTGCTGGTATACAAGAAGAACGTTTTTAATCAAAAGCTAATCCTTGTCTCTGTCAACTATGCATGTGTTAAAAAACTTTAAAAACCTATTTCTAACATGTTTTGGCACACATCATTACCAGAATGTGAAAAATATACACGTGTCAGAATTCTGAAACAATATGAAGAATAAACCAAACTCTATTAAATCTTCTTACTAAAATGTTTTACACATAAATCAATCTTACCACAGTTAAACAATCTACTCATAGTTTTCAAGAAAATATATTTCCACGAAATACTATTAAAAAGAAATTTACATTATATGGCAATTTAATAGATTTTAATTATTTTTTTATTAAATTAGATAACTTTATTTTGGTTTTGCCTTATGAAGTTAAGGTTTTTTCAAAGTTGGCATACGTGAATGTTCAAAGACCTGTTACCTGATTTATATAAGACAAATTTTGGTTGTAACTCAAGTTACTAATGAATCATTATTTGTTGGAGTTTTAGGTCGAAATGGGAACACAACTTGTATTGTTATTCAAATTTTGACTTTCAAATTAAAATATATGAATATGTTTTATATATACATTAACAATTTACAAACTCACACATCAATCAGTCTCCTTTACTTAATGAACATGTCTTATTTCTGGAACATTTAATATATCATTTTACTTTACCAAAAGCACTCCAACAATACCATCTTCTCTTGACCAATCAATATTGCACTAACAAATAGCAGCACTCCAACAATACCATCTTCTCTTGACCAATAAATGTTACACTAACAACTAGCAGCACTACAACAATACCATCTTCTCTTGACCAATCAATGTTACACTGGTATTGTTGGAGTGCTGCTATTTGTCAGTGTAACATTGATTGGTCAAGAGAAGATGGTATTGTTGGAGTGCTGTTATTTGTTAGTTCAATATTGATTGGACACGAGAAGATGGTATTGTTGGAGTGCTGTTATTTGTTAGTGTAACATTGATTGGACAAGAGAAGATGGTATTGTTGGAGTGCTGCTATTTGTTAGTGCAACATTGATTGGTCAAGAGAAGATGGTATTGTTGGAGTGCTGCTATTTGTTGTTACATTAACAAATAACAGCACTCCAACAATACCATCTTTTCCTGACCAATCAATGTCACACTAACAAATAGCAGCACTCCAACAATACCATCTTCTCTTAACCAATCAGATTGATTGGTCAAGAGAAGATGGTATTGTTGGAGTGCTGCTAGTTGTTAGTGTAACATTGATTGGTCAAGAGAAGATGGTATTGTTGGAGTGCTGTTATTTGTTAGTGCAACATTGATTGATCAAGAAAAGATGGTATTTTTGGAGTTCTGCTATTTGTTAGTGCAATATTGATTGGTCAAGAGAAGATGGTATTGTTGGAGTGCTGTTATTTGTTAGTGCAACAAGTTGTAAGTAGGAAACAAAGTTGACTTAATACAATCAAAGCTTCTCTTGAAGGGAAACTATCTTTCAGTGTAGTTCTTGGATTTCTTTAAGTTAGACTTAGTATTTTGACTTCACAAACATCTAATTTGAACCAGTGCTGCTTTCAACACACCACGTTACACACAAAAATCGATGTTTATCTGGTTTTTTTTTTAATATTTGCTTTTAAAT